GTGACGAAACCTTGTAACTCTTCAAAACTGTCGAAACCCTTTTAAAGGAGAAAAACTCTTCAGCACTTGCCAAACCTTATCTTTTTTAAACAAACTTCTTCTGTCGAAGCCCTCAGTCACACACTCTCCAAACTATTCTGCCAGAACATTATATCTATTTCTGTCGAAACAATGAAACTTTAAAACCTTGTCAGTAATTCTTGGATTCTCCTCCTGATGCTATCCTTCGACAAAGATGACCTTAAAGCCTGAATTTTAATCTTGTCGAAATTATGGTCTTGTCGAAATTATGGGTTTACAGAATCATAATCTACGTGAAAAAACGAGTAGGATTGGTATAAGTTTGGACTTGGTTAATGACCTGAGAACGGAGGCTCACCGGAGAAGATGGTGGTTTCCACCGTGAACCACCGTCTGGTAATAGTTCATGTTCGCCTGAGCTGATGAAGAAGATAATTCATGGACCATTGGATTAGACCTTGACTATTGACTCAGATGATGAATGGAGGGCCACGATTGCACAAGAAAGTCTGAAGAGAGAGTTTTGAATAGAACGCAACGTTTCATTAAACGCTTGGTTTTGGGCTTAAGTCTCAGTATGCTATTCACACTCCCATCCTGGCCCAACTTTGGATTTGAACTGATTTGGATTACTATCTGCCATGCGTGTTTTTTCTTTTTCTTCATATTTACATTATTTTCATCATATTATTTTTGTTTCTTTGAAAATTCATAAAAAATAGAAAAATAATAATTTTAATATGGGGATTTTTGCTACATTTCAATAATTGTGTGAAGAAAATTATAAAAAAAATAAAAATATCATTTAAGCATTTTTTCTATTTTTGGTGATTTTTACATTTAATTGCATTTTATTTTCATTTTGTTTGTATATATCATTTTGTGAATTTTGTTTGGTCCTTTAAATTCATATTTTGACTCCCTTCTTTTTGTGGTAGTTAGATTAGGACATTAAGTTCCCCTTGGATTTATTCCATATTTTTGTGGATTAATTTTGATTAGTTTTGATTAGAGAACATTAGGTTAGTATAATTAGGGTTTAAACTCAACATAGGTGCATTCTAACATTTTATTTTGGGTTTTCTAGCTTGAGTTAGAGTATGGGGCATATAGGGGTATGTAGGGTAGATATAGAAATACCCTTAGAATAAATATTAGAATTTTAAATGCTATTTTACTATTTTTAGTGTATTTTGTAAATGAAGTGTTTGTTTGGTGTTCCCACTTGGGGTTTATGTTTGTCTGTCTGGGCTTCTGGGCTTTTATTTTGGGGTGTGGGTTTGGTTTGAGCTTGTGGAAGCATGTAGAATCAATGGAGAAGATGGAATACAAAGATCAAGGTTAATGCATGAGGTTTGCTTGGATTGAAGATGCTGATTGAAGACTTAGGAGAAATAGGATAAAATAAGAAGAGCTTAGAATAGACAAATTCTTCTGTCAAACATAGAGTGCATTGTTTGCCTCTATCCTATCCAATGACATAAAGTCCTCCTTGGGAAGCTCCATATCTCCTTAGGAGGGATGAGTGGTATGCCCAAGTGAGTAGAACTTTGAGGATACCTTTCATTTGCAATGTTAAAATCTTAGTGATTTCCTTTGGTTGTCATTGAGCTTCTTAACATTATAACCTGATCTTGTTGAATGATTCTCCTTTGGAGGTGCTTGTGGAAGTTGGGTAAAGAGAAAGTTGAAGCTTATTGAAGTATAAGTTTGAGCTTGTTGAAGCTGGTTGCTTGTTGAAGCTAGGGTTTGACTACTTGTTGAAGTTGAAGTCAGGAGCTTGTTGAAGGTGGTTACTGGTTAGGGTTAGAGCTTGCTTAAGCCGGGAGCTTGTTGAAGTTAATGTCTGCATTGAGGATTAAAAGCCTATTGAGGATGGAATTTATTGATGATTTTAGAAGAGGGAGCTGGTACTTGGTGAAGCTAGATATCTGTTGAAGGCTAAGGTTTTACTGGCTGGAACTCAATGCTTGTTGAAGCTGGAGATTATTGAAGGATAAAAGCTTAGCTAGAGCTTGGATATCATAGGATCTTGCCTCAAGTGGTAGTTGTTAACCTTTTGTTGTGTATCAATTGTAGCTGCCAGAGCTGGTGCTGTTTGGACTGCTGCTGTCAGAGCTAGTTTTGGGGTTTATTTCCTTTGTTGTATTGTTTTTTAATCTTCCCCTTGGGTTTGAAGTGAAGTTGTTTCACTTTACCTGTTGTTTCCTGCTGCATTCATGCATTTTACTGTTTTACTATATGTATCTGTTTCTTTTGCTGTTTATCCCCTAGGATCTCTGTTTCTCTCTGTGCAAGAGAGAAATATGACAGACATTAGGCTTTCATCCATGCATGACAACATTAGGGTAGTTTTGATTCCCTTTTCAACCATGGGCTTTTTAGAGCTTCTTTCTCTTCTCATCTCAGAACAATTCAAAAACACAATAATAAGGTTAATCGATGTCGTACGTTACGAGCCTTAAGCTATTTGAGAAAAGGTTGCTGGAGGGTCACTCTTCAGTAATCTGATTGCTTAGTGTGTTACCCTTAGGGTGACATACGACGTAGTCACTCTCAAATCATAGTCTCTAGTGTGTCAGAGATTGCAAACACACTAAAAAACACTTCTTGCGTAAAAAGACTGAAAACCAATCAAAGTGTCATTTTTGTCCGCTTGGACCCATAATCAGGAGAAAACCTTTTTCAGAAGGATAAAAAACAATCAAGACAAACTTGTGTCGTACGTGGCCCGAACTACGTTTGCTCTGATCTTTCATGTTCTCTGAAAGTATGTAGGCATAAGATGCGATATCCTAGCGAGCAACTTTCCCCTCCTTTCCCGTAGGTAGGCGAACTACGTTGACTCTGATTTCTCGTTCTAGACGGGAATACGTAGGCATAAAGTGCGATACTTTGCCGAGTCATTTTATTTTCTTTTAACCCCAGACCTGTAGAGTAGATAGAATAACAATCCGTACTAGAAAACAAGCGTGGATCCCGTCGAGTACGACGGACGTGAGGGGTGCTAATACCTTCCCCTTGCGTAACCGACTCCAGAATCCAGGAATTTGGTTACGATGACCATTCCTTTCCCGTCTTTGCGGTAGGTTTACTCTAAGCGTTTTCTTTCCCTCCGTTGGGATAAATAACGCACGGTGGCGACTCTTCTGTTCAGCCGGCGCTGATTTTCGCAGTAGCGACAGTATGCAAATGATAATGCAATGAAACATAAACCAAGTAAAAGATGTTGAGCAAATTTTGGGGTGCAACACTAAGTAACACGCGTTTGGTGCACAACTATGCTCAAATATTTACTCATATTCCACAAAAATCAAATCTTCATAAAAATGGACGAGAAAGGATTAAAAAAATGCACATCTCTTTAAAAGCCTTGGGTAAACGAATGCTTAGTGCACGCCTTGCTCCAACGATTACCCCAGTCGATATAAAATCTTTCAACCAATCAAACTTTTTTTTGCCCTTATGCGACTTTGAAAACCTTTTTTCAGGAACGGGTATGCTTTATCCATTTCGACGTGAAACAAATAAAAATTTCAGCCTTCTAGAGCGACGAACAAGCAAAGATTTAACCACTCGATATGTCTAAAGCATCACCCTTTAAAAGCAATCAAGAAACAATTCTTTTTTACAACATTGCGTATAGCCTTGAGCTCTCCATCGCACCTGGAGATACGTAGGAGCAGAATTTTGAAATCTTGTCAGGCACAATAATAAAAAAACCTAAAAAAAGACTTTTCTCTTTTTTCTCTCTCACTCAATAGATAGAAGATCGCAAACTAACATCATGCTAACATTAATTCGCATAACTAACTAAATAGACACCGTTGAATAGAATAAATATGAGATGTGTTAATACATTCCCCTTGCATAATTGACTTCCAAAACCGCTCTTAGTTGCGACGACCATTTTTTTCGTGGGTTTTATCGATATTTCCTCTTTCTTTTTAAATTAAATAAAGTTCGATGACGACTCTATTGTATTTTGAACTTGCAATGCGCTCGTGGTATTTTTTTCGCACCGCGACACCTCTCACAATTGGAACACCTCTACCACAATGTTCATCAAATGAGAAGAACCTCTTCATTTGATATATATATATATATATATATATATATATATATATATATATATATATATATATATATATATATATATATATATATATATATATATATATATATATATATATATATATATATATATATATATATATATATATATATATATATATATATATATATATATATATATATATATATATATATATATATATATATATATATATAATTTCACATTTAAATAGAATCATGGCTATTTTCATACCTTATGAGACACAATATAAGGAAATAGTACTACAACAATATGTAATATTTAAAATTGATGTAGTTAGTCAATTTGTGGCCATACTAGAACAATAAGTAATATTCAAAATTGATGTAGTTAGTCGATAAGATGATGTCTTGGGAGGCATATTGATAGTCTTGAGCATATGTTTTTGGTTAAGTAACTAAAAGATGATGATGTATATATTTGTTTTGTTTTTAGGTACAGAGTTGTGTTTGTTTCTAGTTATAAGCATAACATGACAATATGCATGAGCAGAGAATGAACACGCTTCTTAACCTTAGGGGGCTTAAGTTTTAACATTGGTTCTCATATTTTCTTTGTTGACACAAAACCCTCATTCTTCACCTTCCAGTAAAAAAAAATTGGCTTTCAAGTTTAAACAAACGATAATGGTAATATATATTTTACTTTTCACCATCAACTTGAACAACCCAATTAACGCTTGCCACGAAACCAATCATTTCTTTTATATTTTCCATTACCAATAAAAAAAAACTCACTGTTTGTTTGGGTATAAATAGGGATAGGCCAGTAACTAACCTAACGAATAGATAGATAAATATTTATATTTGGTAACATTCTCGCCGGAAAACGAACGAAGATAAGATTTTCCGGCGAGCTCGCTGAGATGACGGTTCATCGGCAGAAAAGCGATAAGCGGAAGAGAACGAAGTCGCGATTGGTGAAGTTTGAAGAATTGCCGGAATATTTGAAAGATAATGAGTTCATTTTGGATCATTACCGGTCGGAATGGCCGGTGAAGGATTCTTTGTTGAGCGTTTTCGCGTGGCACAACGAGACGCTAAATGTTTGGACGTGAGTGTTAAAATTTTGCGCAACTTTTGTTTTTTATGTTTGATTTCATCATTTTTTTGTTGGTTGATGTAGTCATTTAGGAGGGTTTTTGATATTCGCGGCGATGGCGGTGGTGAGTTTTCCGGCGGCGACGGAACTCGGAGGAGGAGGAGGTTTTCTCTCTAAAATTTACAGGTATTCTTCTTGTTTGGTTGAAATTTTTCTGTTGTTGTTGAACTTGAAGGATTTGGGTTTCATTGGGGTTTGTTATTGTGTGGTGTGGGAGCAGAGTAGGAGCCGTGGGAAAGCAGATCAACGGTTCTGAATCTCAAAACAAAGGCTCTCAGGTTTGTTTTTAATTTTATTATTTACTTGTTTAAACAAGATTTGCTATTTTTATTTGTATGCCGTTAATAAAAATTAATATTTATTTTAATAGATATTATTTTTATTAATCAATATAAAATCATTATTGTTTTTTTAGTTATTGTTGTGTACACTTTAATTATGTTTTTAATTTGTGTTTTAAAAGGGAGGAAGAGCTATCATCTAAATAAAATACTATTAATATATAACAACTTCAAAAAAAAATTAATGATTATTGTGGTATTTCCAAGTTTAGTGTAATTTTATTAGGTGAGGTAGTTCCTAGTTTAGCTAATTCTTAAAACATTTATCATCATCCATACTGTATTATCTTTTTTTATCATTAGTAATAAAATGCATTTGGTATTTTCTATTTTTGAAAAATCAAAATAATTAAAAGCTTAAAACTATTGCAAATTTTGACATATATGTTTGTTACTATTATGGTCCCCTTGCTAGCAATGAAAATATGTGAATAAATGATATCTTTTATATGCTAGTCTAATCACTTCACTACCGTGGGTCGCAATAAAATAAAAGTCGTATGAATTCTCCTATTTATAAATGTTTAAATTTTTTTATTTCTCTAAGTAATGTGAAATTTGTCCACTCTATTCACACCGGTTAATATGACTTAAAATCGATCCGAACTTGAGTATAACGTTTTGCATACTCTCTAAGGAAGCTAGTGTGTTTTAACCCTATAGGACCGAAATCAATGGATGCCAAATAGACTTCAACCATTACTTTTGTTTAGTGTATCGGGCATGGTTGGTAAGGTTAGAAAATGTTGCGAATGAAATGGCAGGATAAGTGGGTCAGTTTACCCTATCTCCATGTGATCTCTGTGACCGTCCATTATTATTCAATAATTTGAGACTACTCTATGTCTTGCTTTCTTACTTGAAATAATTTGAGACAAAATATGATACTATTAATTGTTAAATAGTTACTAGTATTTCTCTTTCCGCAATGAATACTTTATTTCATACAGTTTTAAAAAAACAATGATAATAGTAATACTTTTATAAGTACTACTATATTTGAGTAAAAAATAAAGTGACAAATATTTAATTTAGAAATATCTATATAGTATTTACTAATTAAATTATATAATTGAAAATAATTTATTTAATATTTATTAGATGGTATAATTAGAAAATACGTTACAAAATGAATATGTGAAATATTTTTTTATAGAGGTCTTATTCATTCTAAAACAGATAGAGTGTTTGCCTATTAGTCCTTATCATGTGTAAGATTCTGTAATATTGCTCTTTAAAGAATTGTGTACAATTTCTTTTTTGTTACAATAAATTGTGTACAATTTTCTAACACCAACTTTTCTTAAGAATTAAGATTAGTGGGAGACAAGGGATTAAGAATCTCCAAAAATATAATTCTATTTTTGGGGTTATTATCTATAGGTCCATCCCATTTACCAAATTCTAAATGCATTGTTTAAGAATTTAAAGTAACTTAATTATTTATTTAAAATACAAAAATTTATCTTTTTTTAAAGCCAAAGACAAAAAAATATGTCTTCCTAATTCATTAACACAACATTGTATAACAATTGTGCTTTTTCTGAAATTTGTTAAACAATTTTCTCTCTTGAAGTGTCATTATCATCCAACACAAATTTTAATTTGAAGTTAGAATTACTTGCAATTGTCCAAAAAATATGTTTGAATAACTTACCCTACAAAACTTAGATACATGAATTCTCTCCATTTATTTTTGTTCGTATGTTTTCACGTTTTTTCATCTCTGCCTTTAAAACTCACTTTTTCTTTTATTCTCTTTCTTTTTCAATGGATGATGGAGATTTTAATAAACCTTCATGTCACATGAAAGTATCTATTCCCATCAAAATAAGACATGGAGAAGAGATAGACATTTGGTTCTATTCAGAAGAACAGACAATTTTTCAGACCTGTAATAAAATTCCATCCATATGTTAAACAATCAGCTTAAGTAGGTTAGGAAATCACCAAAATAAATTCAAGAGCACTTGAATGAGATGGTAAGGGTCTCTTCTATCTTAACCAGTTGCTCGCAGAGATAGTCTATACAGTTGTTCGTAGAGAATCTTCGATTTATACCTAAAACAATAAATAATTAACCATAACACGCCATATTTTTGTTATATAAGCAAAGTAACAAGAAAAATAAAGCATGCTTTGTCCAATTTTAGCTTGCCTCTTGACTAATCATAAGATTAAGTGAATGAATGATTTGTTTGATTACAGGATTGGCATTTGAGACAGATATTGGAAGTAACCATCTTTGATGGAGTTACAGAAACAATTCCAAGATGGCCATGGTTCATTTTCTTAGTTGGAGGAATGTGTTGCTTAGCTTGCAGCTCTATTTCTCATCTTCTAGCTTGCCACTCCAAACGCTTTAACCTCTTTTTCTGGCGTCTAGATTACGCCGGAATATCAATTATGATAGTATCCTCTTTCTATGCTCCAATTTACTACGTATTTTTCTGCAATCCATACGCAAGATTACTCTATTTGACATCAATATCAGTCCTTGGAGTAGTCGCAGTAATAACCCTTCTTTCCCCGACACTTTCAGCTCCTCGGTTTCGAACCTTTAGAGCATCATTGTTCCTTTCAATGGGATTTTCTGGTGTTATTCCAGCAGTTCATGCACTTGTAAGCCACTGGGGTCAGTCGCATATTGTAGTTGCAATTGGATATGAGGTGATAACGGGGATTCTGTATGCCACAGGTGTTGTGTTTTATGTGACTAGAATACCAGAGAGATGGAAGCCTGGAGCATTTGATATTGCAGGACATAGTCATCAGATATTTCATGTTTTTGTTGTTCTTGGGGCACTTGCACATAGCACTGCCACACTTGTCATTATGGATTTTCGAAGGGGATCACCCACCTGTGCATTTTAGTTTATCATTTTTGTATTCTTCTTTCTATGGATACTAGATGCAGCTTTAAACTTCGCAAATAGAACTAGTAACAATAACAAATTTGACTTTTTTTTTAGTGACTTTAATTCACCTTTTAAAGTAGAATAAATTTGATTATTTTGCTCATCAGTTTTTTAAATAATTTTTTAAGACAAATTATTTGAAAATGCATCTCTTATAATTTATCTTTCATCTCTCTATTAACACTTAAAAAACAAAAAATTAAAAAATATATTTTCAGAATATTTTTAAGTATACATGACAATAAAAAATTTTCAAATTAAAAAATTTGGAAGATTAAAAACACATCCATCATCTATAAGTTTCACATATGTGCACGTCATTCAATTTGGGTAATACTTTACCCACCCATGAGGGTGTAAATATGTTGAAAATTTGAATTTGTCCTTTTATATTTTAGAGATATATTCTTAGAAATCTTCATTAATTAGTAATTTTAATACACATAAAGAGTGTGACAAATGAGTCACCCTTAATTAAATGAGTGACAATTTTGGAGATGCATATTCAAAAAAAATGAATAAAACAACACCCTTTCATATTCTTATTCATGATCAAAGACAAGTATTCTATCGAAATACTTAAAAACCTACATTCATTCTCAATCAACTTTTGCACTATAAAACATCTTTTTTGTATTTTACAACATCAAAAAGAGTAAAAGAAACTGCAATTTCAAGTAAAGATTATGATTTTCCTTTTATATTGCTTGCATTAATCTATTTTTTGCTAGTTGAAATGAACATTGATTCTAAAGATGTATCTCCGGAATAGGTTAAACATGATTCAGATATGTATTTTCGAAATTTGTCAAGGTTGAGTTGAATTATTAATTTATTATTCTATTATGATTGGCGATAGATACAGTGTACCATGATACTTTATTTAAAATTATTGTGTATGATGATGTTAAACTGGGTGATGTCAATGATGATGTTAAACCAAGTGAAGTCGAAGATGATGTTAAACCAGTTGATTTTGAGGTGGATGCTAAACCTTGCTCAGGTAAATATTCATGAATAATTTAAAAGTAAACAGGAGTTTGTTCAGCATTAACATGCGTTCCAATAGATCCACACGCAAGCTGCCAAACTTGGATTCAGTGTTTTAATTGGGAGGTCTGATAATGATTATGGTAGAAGATACGAATTTGTAACAATGAGATGCAAAAGAAGTGGCACATACCAACGACCTATTCGGAAGTTGAAATGGGATAACACCTGATCGAGAAAGTGTGATTGTCCTTTTAAGATTCGTGGATACCGTAAGGCAAATAATACATGGAAATTTAATGTGGTTTTTGATATACATAATCATTATCTATCTCATAAGTTTGTCGGTCATCTCATTATATGTCGCCTTAAACCTGAGGAGAAGTTACTTGTTTCGGACATGACATTGAATATTGTGCCGCCCAAAAATATACTTGAAACGTTGAAACTGTAACACCCGAGGTCAGAGAGGGCGGATAGTGGTTACATGTAACACATGAGGGGTGAGGGAGTGGTTGTCGGTGCACGAGGCATGACAATGAGACACTCCTAGAAGCTTATAGGGAAAAACCAAATTCATATCAGAATGAGAGAGATCCTGAGGCTGTGCCGGTATGAGACTGCATGGTTGAAGGAAGACTTATAAGGATTAATTGGTACTACATATACCAACAAGATGCATCCTTTTTTTGGTAGCCTAACAAATAAGAACTCCACAGTTAAATGTGCTTGACTTGGAACAGTATTTGGGTAGGTGACCTTCTAGGAAGTTTTCTAAAGAGCGTGTAAGTGAGGACAAAATATGCTGAAAATACCCGTGTTGTTTTGTGGGGTCAGCCGGCAATCTTGAAAGTAGTCTAAGGCATTACAAATAATATCAAAGCAGACAACTCCTAGTACGATGTGGTTCGGGGACGAACCAAGCGGAAGCTGGTGGACATGTAACACTCGATGCCAAAGAGGGTGGAGGATGGTTACGATTAACACCCGAGGGGCGAATGAGTGGTTGGCGGTGTACGAGGCATGACAATGAGACACTCATAGCAACTTCTTGGGAAAAACAAAATTCACATCGGAACGAGAGGGATCTTGAGGTTGTGCAGGTATGAGATTGCATGGTTGAATGAAGGCTTATAAGGATTAATTGATACTACCTATAACAACAAGATGCATCTTCTTTTTGGTAGCCTAACAAATAATAACTCCACAATTGAGCGTGGTTGACTTGGAGTAGTATTTGGATGGGTGACCTTCTGGGAAGTTTCCCGGAAAGCGTGTGAGTGAGGACAAAACATGCTGAAATGACCCATGTTGGTTTGTGGGATCACTCGGTAATCCTGAAAGCAGCCGGGGGCATTACAGAAACAAAAAAATATCTCAAATATTAAGCAAATATACAATGTTCGTGCTGAAAACAACAAAGCGATAAGAGGACCAAGAACTTAAATGCAACATCTGCTTGGATGATGATTATTATGTTTTTAGGTATAAAGTGTGTGAGGATGGAGTCACAATTCAAGATATATTTTAGACTCATCCTAATTCCATCAAGTTGTTCAACACATTTCTGAATGCACTTATAATTAATTCAACATACAAAACAAACAAGTATAGGCTTCTACTTCTAGAAATTGTTGGTGTTACTTTGACAAATATGAATTTTTTAGTGGGTTTTGCATTTTTAAAAAGTGAAAAAGATAACAATGTTACATGGGATTTGAAAATGTGCAAGCCTACTTTGAAGGACCAAGAAAATATGTCAAAGATCATTATAACCGATCATGATACATCACTGATGAATTTGGTTGCAAAGATGTTTCTTACATCCTATGCATTGCTTTATAAGTATCACATAACCAAAAATGTGAGAAATAAACTTAAACCTGCATTAGGGTCTTAGGGACTAAACAAATCAAAGGTGACGACGGGAAAATGGTCAGAGTTGGTGTGGTAGTGGAAAAAATAATGGATGCTTGGAATGGTGTTATAAATTATTCCACGAAAGAGTTATATGCAGAATCGGTCATACAGTTCAAGAGGGTGTGTGCAAGATATCTAGATTTCCTAAAATATCTTGAGAGCACAATTCTAGACCATGTGAAGGAGAAAATTGTTTGTGATTGGACTGATCAAGTTAAACATGTTGGCAATACAACAACTACTATAGTTGAATATGCACATGCTATACTGAAGAATTGGCTAGGAAACAATAAAGGTGGTTTTTTTAGAGGTTGAAACTCCATGAACCAAATGATTCGAAATCAACATAATAAAATACAAACATATTTTGGTCGGAGCATTACTGTATTGGAACATTAATTCAAATACAACATCCTTTATTCATAGTTGGCTAAAAACATATATCGGGCGAGATTGAATTTTATTTATCACGAAGGCAAGCGAGAAGAGGAAACATGATCAGACAGGTCAAAGTGTGGTTGTACACTTAGGAAGATGTATGGTCTTTCATGTGCTTGTTTAATTACAAAGAAAATGAAGGTCAACATGTCGGTACGTATGAATGTGATTTACACTCATTACAAAAGGATCTGGTTTGACGGTGATAAAGTGATGAAGGATGATAAATCAAATATATCTATCATGACTGAGTGGATCCAAGAGATATTCATGAAAGCTAATGAAAACACGAAATTACACATCAAAAAGCAGTTGAGGAAGATCGCTTATTTTGAAACCACCTTCAAAACCGATTAAAACGAAGGGTGCCCCTAAAAAGGTCAAACTAACCGAGAATGACAATTCTACAAGCGGTGTCCTTCTTACTTTGAACATGTTGACTCACATTTTCCAAATTCTCCAACACCTAAATCTAAAATAATTATTTTCAATGGTGCTCGCATTAGCAAACCATTTCCACACCACTGTTACAAAAAATCATCCATATTAAAAAGATGCCACTTTTTATGCATAAATACATTGAACGGGTTGTAGATGTTAAATGTGACAACAACTATGATTTTCGAGCTGTTTTGGGTTTGCTCGGTAAATGAAAGGAGAACCACCAATTTGTATGCCAACATCTTATACAAGAGTTGACGACACATATGGAATCATACACATCGTTATACGGGAAAAAAAGTACGATGCAATTATCATTACTCGTGTTCCTTGTGTTAGAGGTTCAGCTCCATTTGAAAAATGGATGCGCTTCCTTGAAAAGAGACATCTTATAGAAAATGCTTATGACATTGTATGTATTGATCTGACAAGATATGGTTTCTCAAAACAGAAAAACTTCCACTTTGAAGTAGGCCATATCAAAATCCATTCGGGCGCATCATGTGTATTAGGTGGCTTTCAAAAACACAACATTTTGTTTAATTTTATTTGAAACCTAGGTGTCTTAAACCAAAGACATCACCGGAGTGGATGACACATTTCACAAAAGAGGTTGAAACTTGAGTCAATCACTTTCTGGAAAGGATGTAAGAGTTCACAAAGTTGAGCGAGATTGAAAGAGAATCAAATAAGGAAAAGTCAAAGGCGGCACCATCCATAGAAATAGATTTAGGTAATGACGCATGTTTTAATGCTTTTTATTTTTTATCTAACTATGTATTTAGATGATGAGTAATTTTTTGTATGTATTGTTGACACAACCTCCATACATATGTAATGTATATTCAATATTAATTGTATAACAATTGGGGTCAATTTTAAGAAAACTTTATGTTTCAACCTATTACCAAGTTTCTCTTTGCATAAAGCATGTTTTGTATAATACTTGGGGTGTTTTAGGAGATACACTTTCAGAATAACACATTTAACTAAAAAATATTAAATAGGGGGTGTTTCGGGAATATAACTCCATAGAAACGCTTACGTTTTAAAAATAGGGTGATTCAAGATATGCATATCCCGAATATCCTATGATACATGACATGGTTTCTAAGGTCCATAAGGATCTAAAACTTGTATCAATATGGAGTTTCTAATCTCAAGTTG